GCTATTTTACAGGAGCGACCAAACCATGGCTGGGATCTGCCTCCGATGGGCACCACAGAGGATGGAATAAAAAGTTCCATACCCTGAAGTACCACATCAGCAACAGAATCGGCAACAACGCTGGGATCTTCCGGCGTGAAGCAAACCCGCCCCCAAGGGTACGATGCAAAAAAAGACCGCATCCCGTCCCAATCAGCTGACCTATAGTGCCAAACACGGCGGCAAGCTGCAGATCGCAACTGCTATAGGAGCGTGAGTGGCACCGTACTCCGGATCAGACAATGGTCCGAAGAGCCCAGAGGGGCATCGACGGAGACCTGATATCCGTCCGGATGAGAGGTCAGCAGAAGGTCCAACAGGGAAGGTACATAGTCTTCCACATCTGGGATCCGCGTAGGCGAAGTAACCAGTTGTGTTAGACCATATGCCAAAGCAAAGTCATAGACAGATCTACCCACATGATCGGTTAAACGAGAACCAAGCCATTCAGCGTGGTGGGCGTTAAAATCACCGAGTATCACGATTTCTGCGGATGGCACCTGTTGTAGCACGGAGTCTGCAGCCATTTGGACGTGGTCGATGAGTCGGTCTGGGTTGGCATTACCGCTATGGGAGCTATAGAGGCACCCGTAGACGCGGGGATGGTCGTCGCTGTCTACGCGCAGCCATAGGATGGACAGGTCCGTACCTTCAAGACTGCCGAGGCGTCGAAAACAGATGTCCTCTCTGACGTATACGCAAACTCCAGCCCGGGGCACAAAAGAGTGTTCCAATTTGTACCCCGGGTAGGAGAGATATGAAGTATCAGCCGGAGAGGACACCTGAGTCTCGGTTAAAAAGAGCAAGGCCGGCTTCGCCGTCTCTAGATGGTAATGGACAACGTTAAGGTTGGAATGAAGTCCCCTGATGTTGCAAAAATTCACGGATAGCGTGACAGGGGTCGCCTTGGTTGTATTGCTCCGCTTGCCCCGAGCAGCATTAGTCGCGAGCGGAATTCCCGCCCCCCCTCCCCCCCAGAATACGCGGGACAGCCTGAGCACCCACGTTTAGGAGTGAAGTAGTTTGGTCGTGGATGCTCAGCGAGGGATTCTCCAGGGGTGCTGGTACCCTCCTGTGGTAGTCTTTTATTTAATTCCACTACTATGTTGATGGGGGAGGGGGGTTCAAATTGGGCCTCCGGGACCTGCACTCACCAAGCGCAACGCAGAGATAAACCTCTACTTCACGCTGGTATTCTGTGAGGTCGTGGTACCACCCCGGTTCGAGCTGGCCCATTCGTGCAACAGCAAAAGCTATTGTTTAGCTCTACCACTGTTAAAAAGTGAACTGTTGAAGTGGCAATGGGCCGGACATATAGATCGAAGAACCGACAACCGATGGGGAAAAAAGGTTCTCGAGTTGTGGTTTCGTACCGGCGGACGAAGTGTAGGGCGTCCCCTCACTAGATGGAGTAACGACCTGTTAAGATATGCAGGAATTCGATGGATGCAGGTGGCTCAGCACTGTGCTTTGTGGCATTCCTTGGGGGAGGCCTATGTTCAGCAGTGGACTAGTGACGTTACAAATAGCATGAATTTCTCTCTCGGATTTAAAGTGTCTATAATATCTCTAATAAAAATTCACGAAGAATTTAAATCAGAAGAAATTAAATTAATTTACATTTACGAGACGTATCATTTAGGATTGTCTCGGAAATTTCTTTGGCAAAATCAGACAGGCGAGTGCTAACTGCCGGGAACCAACATGTCGACAGTTAGTATTGCTTTCAATAGGATTTTCATAACCAATATCTTAAGGAAACCTCAAGATTCTAATTGCGAATACGATATGTTACTGAAACCTAACGATTGTCTTATTTTTAATAAACCATAATCGCAATCTGACAATGTAAAAGAGAAAATAAAAATGAACGTCAATATACCTGAACAAGCTATAAATATGGGAAAAATGCTTTTTTCAGCCATGACAAGGATTTTAATAAAGATAGTGTTCAATCGGTTTCGATGAATATTTTGGCCTCAAAAAAAAAACATTGCATGTTTCTTTCAAGGTCAAAATATTCGTCGATTGTTAGTGACATATTAAAACGTGTGCAAGATTATATATTTGTTATGCAATGTGAGTGCTTTCTAATAGATTATTTAAAAGAAATATCTTAAGATTTAGAATTTACCATTTAGTTATAAGCCACAACAAATCGTTCAAGAACTAACTAAAAATAAAATATTTGGAATACCTACGTAGTTTGTAAAAAATATTCTATCTCACGTATCTATTGAAGAGCTGATAAACGTTTTGTTTATTTAATTTATCCTTTTGTGCCAACCCTAACAAAATAGGTAAAAAATTTTGCAGGTCCTTAGAAGCTTTGCCTCTGTACAGTTTCTTTACTCATGTGTATAAAGTAAGGAAAATAAAATAAGGAAGAATTTAAACATCGAATTCAGAAGCTATTATATGGAAATAATCTTATTGTTTTTAGTTCTTTTACGTCTATTTTTTCTACACTAACGAATATAAGAAGCTCAAGGTAAGAACTAGAATACCTTCTAACCATCTCATTAAGAACTTCTTCCCCTGTTTTTCCACATTTTGGGGTGGATTCTTATTTCCACATTAAAATTAAAATTTAAAACAAATTTAAAATAAAAAAGAATTAAAGTTCAACATTGATTAAAATATTACGGAACATGTAGGGTGACCAACTTTTTTTGCATCTTTTTTTCCGCCACTTTGTTTTAGCACCAAATTTACTAATTTACTATTAATTAACACAATTGTTCGGTAACAATTATTTTGTGTAGCAACGGCAAATTCGATATGGAGCATTTTTCGGTTTTCTTTACGATTTGTCGAAGGGTATGTATGTGGTCTATGGTGTTAAAGCCTTTTCGGAAACCGGCTTGTTCAGAAGGCTAGAAGTCGTCAATTATTCGAGCGAGACGATTCGTAATGAGTCTTGAAAACAGCGCGTAGACGTGGCTCAGAAAGAAAATCGGTCTGTAGTTCTTCAATAGTGTGTTGTAACCTTTCTTGAAGAACAAGACCACCGCACTTCACTCCACGACTCCGGAGTAGTGCCAACAAGAAGGGCGGAATTAAAGAGTTTCTGAAGGACTTCAAATACCGGTTTTTCACTCGCTTTCGGAAGCTCTGCTGTAATTCCATCCTTTTCCGGGAATTTTGCTGGAGAGCCATTTTAATCTCGCTCAGACTGACGTCCAGAATATAGTTGGAATAGTATCGAATAAAACTTGATCTTGGATCGTTACTCACACTAGCGTGTGACACCAACAATGACATGTACAGCTTCCCAAAGTACCTTTCAATCTCACTCAAAATCTTAGGTGTCCCGAAAACAATGCTGCCACATTCGCTCTTCAGCTTAAACAGTTGTCTCTTGCTGGCAGACAGATCTTTGGCAAAGACTTTGTAGCCCTGGTTCAGCTCAATCGCTTCCTCAATACGAGCTGTATTGAAGTTGAAGTTGCGTAAGTCCCGCCGCACGCAAGATCTGTCCGTTCAGTTGCCTATAGGCTGTCAAATCTGCTAAACACTGCAACTTCATCTCCCGTCTAACAGTAATGATATTAAGAGTTTGATCGGATAGTTTTTGTGTTCTTCTGCGACGGGTTTTGCAAAAATTAACTCCAACCGCATGGGCAGTTTCCACTAGCTTGTCATCCAAATCTTCCACTTGATTCTGGGCACAGAAGGCGATTTTGTAACTCGAGCTGAAAGTTTTCGGGGCTTTGGATTAGAGCACGAGGGGGCGGAGCGTTGACTTCATTAGACATGACCTCTCCAACTTAACGTTTAGGTTCATTGTTCCTCACACCACTCGGTGAGTGCTGCCAGTTTTCCAAATGTTGTCTTCTGGTCGGCTTAATGAAGTTAATCACCATTTTTTGTTGTTCGGTCGAGGCTCAACCAAGTCCACCTTTTGTGGGCCCGCTTTTGAAAGAAAAAGATCATAATAAATAGTTCCTTTTTCTATATTCCCTAATTTCAGCTCACCATTCTTTTTTGTGCCTAGTTTTGCGTTGAAGTCTTCCATAACACCATTAAGTGGGTTTTGGAGAATTACATGGCTCTAAAGATAACTCCTTACATTTCTTTCACCTGCTTATCGGAATGCGCTGATGTTGGTGCGTAAACCTTTATGTCATTCCGCTAATACCGTTTGGTGATTCTGAGTGTAAGGTACGCAACCCTCGTCGACACACTCCCAATCTTTACAACGTTGTTAACGAGAGACTTGTGGGCGATAAATCCGACACCTACTTGGGACAAAAGGTCGCCCTCTCACTGATAGAACAAGTTGCCAGATTCGAGAATTACCGTATCCTCCCCCTCTCTTCGGACCTCAGATAATCGTATAATTTCCCAGCACAGCTTGTCTATCTCTTCTTCCAGATCCAGGATCTTCTCGTCAGTCCTCAGAGTGCGTGCGTAATATGTTGCCAGGTCGAGTCGTCTTAGGTGGCAACCGAAGCTCCTCCGGAGATTCTTAGCAGCCCTTGCTACGCCGTTAACATTGTCACCACCGTAGCCAGGAATAGCGGGGCCGCAGGGGAGTGGAGGCCGTTTATTTGCATCGTTGCTCATGGGGGGTATATTGGCATAGTTACCACGCGTGGCAAGTGGGTTGGTAGATGCATTTTTAAAGCTTTTTGCTTGTAACAGAAACGTACAATAAAAATGCCCATCTTCAGCCTCAGTTTAAACTCTGTCGCCTCTTACTACATCCACGGGAAGATTTTGGGAGGTATGTCGCCTCTTACGACACCCACGGGGAGATATGGGGGTATTCTTAACCGCCACTTCACAGAGCCATCCTGTACTATATACAAAATATACAGTCTTTTTGGGAGCCTCCTTATTTCTGTAATCAGCTAGAGAAAGGGTTCTCTCAATTATTTTTTTCCACAAATCTGTTTATTTCTACAATAAATATTGTTGATGGTTTAGTTTTTTATTTACAACATTACGAGTTTAAGTTATGAGGAATTATAACGTTGACGGTAAAATAAAACTGAAGCGCGAGCGGATGCTGCAATTCCCTTCCATGTTTCTTTGTTTATCTGCTCGATGTATTGAGGTGGCACCCTGAAGTCGTAACCGCCAAATTCAGGAAGCTCAATGGTGTAAGAGAATGGTACTCCGACGTACTGAAAATTGTTAAAGTGAAAAAATTAGTATACGAGATATTTTACTTTTTACTTGGTAGAGCGAGGCTAATACATTTTGGTTGTAGTATAAAATGGCCGGGGAAGGACCACCTTCTCGCAAAATACCAGCATAAAATAGCAGGTCGATGCTTTTGTGTTTTGTTTAGCGAGAGTACAGAAATGGATACATTTTTCACTGGAAACGGGCCATTCCATCTTAGTCTTCAGGGGTGAAAACGCATCAGCATTTTTATTCTTAAATGATGATAAATGAAGATATTTATGGCCCACAGCATCCACTTTTAACAGTGGTAGAGCCACGCGGCAGCTTTTGCTGTCGCACGGATGGGCCAGCTCGAACCGGGGTAGTACCACGACCTCACAGAAAACCAGCGTGAAGTAGAGGTTTACCTCTGCGTTTCGCTTGGTGAGTGCAGGTGGCCGGATGCCCTTTTTACTGGAAATGAGGCATTCCATCTTAGTCCTCACGGGTGACAACGCATCTACATTTTGATTTGTAACAGAGGATGGATGTAGATGTCTATGGGCCGCAGCAACCACTTACCATCAGGTGGACTGTGTGCTCGTTTGTCACCCTTATCCTATAAAAAAAAAAAAAAAAAAAACTTACTATCAGGTGGACTGTGTGCTCGTTTCTCACGCACATACTATAAAAAATGTCGATGGATGAAGTTGACTTATGACAGTGCTATGTGGCATTCCTTGTGTGAGGCCTAAGTTCAGCAGTGGACTTGTGAAAGGCTGTATAATGTATGGCTGTATAATTAAATAAATATAAATTAATTTTATCATGTAAATTTTTTAAATTTTAAAAAGATATATGTTACAGAGAACATCCTGCGGAAACCTATGTCAGAGGAATATAAAATATTTCGAAGACTCATTAAATATTCCATTTTGCGTTATAACGACCCCGGGGCCGTTCTCTGTCCTATAAAATTTTCATAAATCGGCCAGTTTTTAGCAATGTCCAAACAGTCGTCCGGCAGTGGAAGAAGTATATAACATACATTATAATCAATTACGATTAATAACATAATAACTGTTAATGGTAACTTTGAGAAAATTCTGTAAAAAACTCTATATGATAAAATCAAAATGAAATATATTTTATTGTAGATCGAAAAAAAAACCAACAGCAACAAATTTTATAAAGATACGATTGGTGGCCTTATGGCTTAGAAGCGATCTTTTTTTATAGGATAAGGGGGACAAACGAGCACACAGTCCACGTGATGTTAAGTGGTTGCTGTGGCCCATAAACATCTACATTTATCCTCGATTACCAATCAAAATGCAGATGCGCTGTCACCCGTGACGTTTCCAGTAAAAAGGGTCCCCGGTTCTCTACGCTTACCATACGAAACTTAGCAGCAATAAGCTGCTATTTTACGCTGTTATTCTGTGAGAGCGTGGTCTTTCCCTGGTCGAGCGGACCCATTCGTTTTACAACTATACTAGAAATATAGCTGCAGCATGGCTCTACCACATATATATTAGATGCCCTTCTTGAAGAAATCAGCTGGACGCATAGGGCATCTTCTTCCAGTCAACCATTAGGCTAAACAGAGATAGACAAAGAAGAGGCGGTGCAGCAGCAATCAAACTAGAAAGGGATAAAAGAAGAAAATATTATTTATATATACATAATATTTTCTACTTTTATCTCTTTATATATATATATATATATATATATATGTGTGTGTGTGTGTGTGTATCTATATATAAATTTATTATATTCAATATATACATGTACACACAACACGAATATAGTACATAATACATATAAATATTTCTTTACATGGGCAGAGAATGGTATGACATTATTTTTAAACATAGTTGATGGTAGGGTGGGAATATCTATCTTTGATTAAGAATCAAAATGCAGATGCATTGTCACCCGTAAGGACTAAGATGGAATGCCTCGTTTCCAGTAAAAAGGGTCTCCAGTTCTCTACAATCACCATACGAAACACAGCAGCGTTAGGCTGTTATTTTACGCCGGTATTCTCTGAGAGCGTGGTCCTTCCCCGGTCAAGCCGACCCATTCGTGCTACAAACATAATATAGCTGCAGCATGGCTCTACCACGTATCAAAATGCGCGATCTCTTCCAGGTAACCACCTTGCAGAGGATAAAATATAATGACCAATATAAAATAATATGTATTTAATTATTTGATGACAATGATGTGTAGAAATAACTCTTTATTTGCTTGCAAGTCCCGTCACTAGTGATATTTTATAAAATTGGCATTACACTAATATACATTTGCAAATCAAATCGCAATATGGCATTTAAAAAACTACCCTAATTTCTTGCCAGTTCTTCTCCGCGAACATCATGTTTTGCGAACCGGTGTAGGTTTTGACATACGAAAAAACTTTAAACAAGCCTTAATTAAAGAAAAATGTGGTTATTACTTTGATACCAACCTGTAAATAGTCCTGAGCACTGCCTGACACTGGATACAGGAGAAGGGCACTGTTCCCAACTAGGTAATGGGGGGAGCTAGAAAGCTTTACAGTATCAATAGCCGCTCCCATCACAGCACCCACATAATGCAACTGTACCACATTAGGCGGAAATGTGAGGTCATCGTAGCCGAAGAGGATAAAATTTCCATAACTATGAATGTTGAGATATAGCTGTATACGGTCGAGGTGTTCAAAAGCTATGTCCCTGATGTAGAGGGCCTCGACTTCAGAAAATGGTGAAGGTCCAGGATAGGTGTCGGAGCATGGGTTACTGGAGACGCCTATGGTATTAAATGATATATTGAAATTCCGGTTGGCGTCTACTCCATAGCATGATGTACTGATTTCTGGTCTGAAAGAACGTGTCCGTCTCCACAAACGATTCTGTAGACATCGATAAATTATATTAATTAATAGAATCAGGCGTTACTTTGCGGATATCCATTATAAAGTTAAAAAAATTATGAGTAATGTAGCTAATTAATTTTTAACATCTTTAAAGTTATATTATTAAAATTTTTAAATTTAATACGAAAATGAAATATATCTTATGAATGTTAAATACTGTGTACTACAGTGACACTAAAGAGTACACAGTCAACAAAAATTATACAAATGTTTGCATTATGAAGACAAACAAATTAGCAATTATCCAAAAAATATTTCAGTAACTCACATCAGTGTGTGTAAATTCGTAGCCATCAGGATTAGTGATGGGCAATATGATCCAATCAACTTGTTCCAAAAGATCTCGATCGTCTTCCTTAAGATTTTCAACCAGTCTATGCATGGTGTACAAAGTGACGGGAGTGGTCACCCACTCCCTAGCGTGCATTGCAGCGTCCATGAAGTAGATCGGCTTACTGGGATCAGTAAAGTTTGTGGTGGAGATCTACAAATATATAAATACATTTCAGCAATCACTTTTTACGTGGTAGAATCCGGCTGCAGTTATAGGTTGTAGCACCAATACGTCAGCCCAACTGAGAATGAGCACGCTCTCACAAAATATCAGCGTAAAATAGCAGCTATCCAATATATACAATAAAGGAGGTAATAATAGAGAAAATACTAACTATGCTAGTTATCATAGTTAGTATTTTCTCTTCTCTCTTCACAAAGAAGTGACTGACCTTCAAATATTTAATATCACGTCCCTCAAAACTTGGTCCAGCATTCACCAATGTGACGATGTCTGGATACTGTGTAGCGAGTAGTTCCATGTATTCGTTTACCTATTACAAAAATTTAAAAGTAAATTAATTGGTACAGTTCACAGAACTATTTACCGGGTTTGATTCCCGAGTTGGGGCAAAACTAGTTACTGGTTGGTCTGTCAAAACATTCTCAGTAGCAGTACGGAGTCAGGAAGTTGGCCGTGTTGCACTACCGTGTTTCGGTAAGCACGTAAAATTCTGTCTCTGATCTCTCTCCGGTGAGTTAATAAAGAATGCACCAGTGCTTCACACACACACTTGTGCATTCTACGTTGAGACTGGATTCCACGTTCAGAGGATGAGACACTTTCTGTTTGTGACTTTACACTTCATATAGCAGACAATGTTTTAAATTGTCAGGTTCAATAATTACCTCGGAATATCTGGGATAGTCTTCGAATGGTATCATTTTTCCTTGTCTTTTTCTTCGCCAATTGGAAATTTCCTCGTCATGTTCGTCAAACGCTCTGGAAATCGCAATTAATTTCTTTACATTTACTAAAGTGGCAATATTTTCTTTCTTTTTTCTCTGGATTTTCGCCTGTATCGTGGAGGTATTTTACATACATATTTTGCACATGAACAAAGAAAAATACTGGAAACATTTGTTTGTGGGCCATACACACTTATTCGGTGCGGATTCAAGCCCGTGGGCTTATCGCAGCGTACCTTTCATCATCTGGGTATCGCACTTGATTGTCACGTGCGAGTTGTAAGAGGCGACTATGGTAGACGCCAAAATGATCTTGATATGGCTTCCGATAGATGGCGGTATAATGAGACACTATTGAGGTCATTGAGCATTTTTAACGGTGGTAGAGCCACGCGGCAGTTTTTCTGTTGCACGTATGGGCCGGCACGAGCCGGGTTGGTACCACGACCTCACAGAATACCGGCGTGAACTAGAAGCTCTGCTTCTGCGTATGGTCTGGTGAGTGCAGGTGGCCCGAGGCCAATTTTTTTTTATTTTATAGGAGAGGGGGCAAACGAGCATGCGGCTCACCTGATGGTAAGTGACCACCGCCGCCCATGAACAAAAGCAACACCAGGGGAATTGCAGATACTTTGCCGGTCTTTTAAAAAGGAGGAGGCTCTTTTCTTGAAGGTCCCTAAGTCGTATCGGTCCAGAAAAATCGCTGATGGTAAACTATTCCACAAGGAAGTTGTGCGAGGAAGAAAACATCTTCTAAATCGCACAGTGGTGGACTGCCAATCATCCTGATGGTGTGTGTCTAGGCAGGAAAATTTGCAATAAAAACGCAGGATTTAACGCGCGCTTTTGGCCTCGATATCAAGGGCACCTTCCCTCTCCCCCGCCCCCCCGGCCGCCGCAACGAGTCGGTGTGGCTCTTCTCGCGAGGTAGTAGGATTTTTCTTGCGAACTATACGGACGTATTTTTTCGCGCCTAAACTTGCTAAAGAAACAATCCGCGTAAATCGTTGCAATAACGGTATCGTTATTAGAACGTACTAACTCGGTGAAATTCGCGCGCAACTATCAAAGTGATTTACATCTGAAGGACTACCAGAGTAGCCGTCCCATTTGGTGACAACCCCTTACGAGTGCCTCCAGAAGGGTGAAGTTCCGGGGATACCAGCGCGTGCCTTCTCCCGGACGTCGTCGAGTCATCCAGATCGGTTCCCGTCAACATACCAGCTCACACAATTACACCTACACTCACAACACCGCATACACCAAGCACAACTTCCATCAGCCGGGCCGGTCTAGGAGAACCGTCTGCGCTCCTGAGGCAGGTAAGTGCATTTCTTCTAGTGACCTTTCCCCTCGCGTGTTCATTAGAAACCTTAGACCCTCGGCGTAGGAACGCCCGACCTGCATCTGCCCGTGGGTCCTTCGTCTATGGGCCGCGAAGGATCCAACTCCTGTTTAGGCAGGGCAGCTGTTGGCCGTAACATTTGGTAGCAGAGCGTGGTTCTGGGATCGATTCCCGGTCGATCCACCGACCATAGTATTGGATAAAAATTAAATAATTTGGTGGCAGGAGCGTTGGGTGGATTTGTGGCTACAATCACGCCCGTCCGTAATACGTAAAATACCTTTTTATTATTATACGTAATAATAAAATTCCTTCCTTTGTTAGCTTGCTTTACTGTTAGCGGGTAAAATTGAAAGGTCACACCCGGTTCGCGCGCAAGCGGGAGATTGCGTCATGTAGGTAGATGGTTATTTTTACGTAATCGGTTAATTGTCGTTGTCGGATGGTAGTGTGTTACTTATCGAAGGGTTGATTTCCGAGCAAGGCATTTTTGTTGATGTGTATCTTCGTTACATATCTTTCGTATTGTAAATTGTATTTGAACTAAAGAGTGGTAATTTGTATTTACGTAATTTAAATGAACTTGATTTGATCGTACTAGTATTTGTTATTGTTGATTTGATTTACCTTTTCCTTTGTACTAACTTGTGTTTGATTTAATAATAGCTGTTCTTATTTGTGTACATTCTATCCAACTAGATTTGATAGGAACTGCATTAGTTAGCTGTTAATTTTTTTGTATTTTTTTATTTGTTATTGTTGTAATTGTGCTCGAGCCGCGTCGTAATTTGAATTTAGTAGTGATGTCCTCGCCCAAGATGCTAATCCGTTGCCTGCGGACTGAGCTGCGCTGGGCTACCAGCGCACACGCGTTGATAGGCCGACCGGACAGGGTCTACAATCTGAGGAAGAGGCTTGAGCAGGTCGATGCTCGAAGGGCGGCCGTGGAGGAGGCTTACTCTGAGCTCGAGGACTTGGAGGTGGAAAAGGGAGTCCTGGAATCTTGCCGCGCGGACTACGAGCAGTTCCTCGCGCTGACGGACGACCTGATCGAGGCGGGGGCCAAGGATGCGGAGAGGGAGCGCGAAGCTCGGCTGAGTAGCCTTCTCGAGTCCCCGCGGAAGCCGTCTGCTCAGCCAGAGCTGCTAGGACGACTTCCGACGCTGGACCTGCCAAGGTTCTCCGGGGTCCTCTCGGAGTGGATGACCTTCGTCGGCCTGTTTGACAGCCTGGTGGACGCCCGGAGGGACCTGACCCCCTGCCAAAAAATGGGGTACCTCCTGGCTTCACTAGAGGGGGAGGCCCTGAGCGTCGTCGGCCACCTTAAGTTGTCGGACGACGCCTACCAAAACGCCAGGGACCTCCTCGCTGGAAGGTAAGCCAACGTCCGGCGGATTGCGGACGATCATGTTCGGAGGCTGCTGAACCTCCCGCTGCTGAAGGACCGGACTAGACTACGTGAAGACATAGTGAATCCAGTCGTCGTAGCGTGCAACTCGTTGCGGCGGCTGGATTTACCTGTGGACGAGTGGTCTTTTCTGCTCCTTCATATAGTGCTGTCCCGCCTGCCCCTCGACCTTCGGCTCCATTTTGAGGAGAGGTTCGGAGGGGATGGCGCCTCTTATATGCCCCCCTTTAGGGACCTGCTGCGGTTCCTGGAAAAGCAGTGCAGGCTGCTGGAGAACGCAGCAGGCGCCGTCGAGGGCCCCCCGGCCTCCTCCCGAGCGGTGCCCAGGGAAAGGCGGAGTCAGCCGGCCAAGGCGGCGCCCACCCCCCTGAGGCCGAGTGTAGCCCCCGCGGGAGGGCGCCCCCCCGTACCCTCCTATAGTGGCCTAGCGGCCCGGGAGGCGCCTCCCTGCTCCTATTGTCGAGCATCCGACCACCGGACGGCGTCGTGCCCGAAGTTGTTGCGCAAGCCGGCTAAGGCGAGGCGAACCATCGCCAGGGAGCGCCGCTGGTGCTTCTCGTGCCTGGAGAGGCATTTACAACGAGACTGCCCGCACCAGCGGCCCTGCACTCACTGCCAGGGCAACCACAACGTCCTCTTGTGCCTGGGTGCGCGCGGCTCGTCCTCGCAGGGCCCTGCCAGCCCCCCGACTCCCACGGGCGGGGGCGCCCAGCCACGCCCACTGTCGGGCGACGCTCGGCGCTCACCGGCGGACCGCAGCGCCCCTCCTTCTGAAGGGAGCCCCTCCCCCGATCGGTCGGGGAGTCGTTCCCCCAGGGGCGGGGGGGTCTTCACCCCCCCTCCCCGAGTTGATAGTGGATTCGCGGCCACTCAGCGGTCAGCTAGACCTTTCTCACCCCCGTTGGCTGAGTGGCCGCGACTGGAACGCCGCCCGCCCCCCTTTGGCCGGTGCCGGTACTACCGGGTTCCGGAGACTGCGTATCGGCCCCGAGCCTTGGAGCCGAGGATCCCCGAGTTTCCCTCGGTCGGCCCGTTCGGGGAATTCCAGTCGGGGGTCATCGAGACGCCGTCGGAGTGCCGCGCTCGGGCCCCCCGGTTCGGGTGCCGGCCTAACAGAGGCAGCTCCAGATAGGAGGCTGCCGCCCTAGCTCCCGCCATGGCCGCCTCCACTGAGCCTATAAGTCGTCAGCAGTCCACCTGTCAAACTGTTCTATTGCCGACAGCCTCAGTGAAGGTTTACAACCCGAGCGGCGACCACTTAACGGTTCGAGCTCTATTGGACTCGGGTTCCCAGCGTAGTGTGGCCTCTACTCGGTTGGTGGGAAGACTGGGGCTCCCCTGGAGCTCTGAATCACGTCCGATGGTAGGTATCGGAGGTGCCGAGCCTCCTGCTCCTAGGGGACAATCGGAGTTGGTGTTCAGCCCTGACAGCGAACACCTTCGTATTTTAGTCAAGGTAAATGTCCTCGACGACATTGTAGGGTTCCTCCCTAACGTTCGTATAAATGACAGCGCTGTGCGCTGTGCGTCGGCTTTGAGACCGGCAGACCCTCGGTGGGCCCAACCGGGGCCGATAGATTTGTTACTGGGGGCCGACACGCTGGGTGCCCTCTTGTTAGGTGAGATACGAGCTCTGCAGCCCAATGGCCTGGCAGCCATTTCCACGATATTTGGGCACAGCTTTTTTGGACCGGTTATGTGGTCTCCTCCCTCTCCGACGGCCGACCCTCTCTCCGTCGTGGGCGTGTCCCTATCGGACGCTGTCCAGCGATTCTGGGACATTGAGGAACCACCCCATGCAGCTTGAGTCGACCCTCTGGACCGTGAGTGTGAGTTGTTCTACCAGAACAATACCGGCCGGCGGGTTGACGGTCGGTTCGTCACTCGCTTACCCTTTCTGGACTCCCGCCCCTCTTTGGGTCAATCCCGTGCTCTGGCCGAGAAGAGGTTGCTTTCCATGGAGCGCCGCATGCGGCGTGACCCAGACTTTCGCGACAAATATGTCAAGTTCATGCGCGAGTATCAGGAGCTGGGTCACATGTCACCGTCCAACTTCGAATGGCGTTCACATGAGCACTACTTCCTCCCTCACCATGCGGTCTTGAGGACCCCTGAGAGTAAGATTCGGGTAGTCTTTGACGGTTCCGCCCCCACATCAAACGGTGTGTCCCTGAATCAGTGTCTTCACTCGGGTCCTAAACTGATCAAGGACATATCCGACATCCTGACCCAATTCCGTCGACACCAAGTGGTTTTTGTCGCGGACATTCGGATGATGTTT